CTACCTAGTTGATATTCAAAACTATAACATACTACAGTATTACTACAGGTATGATCAATGTTGACAGTTTTTAAGCCCTATATTTGCCAAAATCAGTGATATTTGTTACCCATCTTTATGTCTATTAAACTAATTACTAAACTACTGTATGTATCAAAGTGCGGGAAATTAATGAATTCTGTAGTTCGTTACAAAAGTATAAATTTATACCTTAATAAATTTTATAAAAATTTTAATATACTGGAAAGAAATTATAAATTATGTTTCATTACACAATAAAAATTATTAAAATAAAAAGTGATAAATATTTTAATTTATTGGTATTATTTACCAATTTTTGCACTTTGTTCTCATTTTTTAAAATCAACTCATTGACACCTTACCTCAAATTCAGGGTGTAAACAATAATTGTGAAGGGTTTTGAAAGGGTTAATCACATAAGAAAGACACAGAAATTTTATAACAGACGGATTTGTACATCTAGTGGTGTCCTCTAATATTAAAAATGTTTTGAAAGAAAAATGGATTCTGCAATATTTGTAATAAAGGTTGTAGCATTACTTCTTGCCGCCTGCAAATGGCTATACTTTGTCAGCCTTATTCTGCAAATGAAATCAACAAGGCAGCTAATCAGACAAATTCCCTGACTTTCCATGACTTTTTCTGAACACTAATGAAAATTCCTGACTTTCCAGGTGCATAGGAATCCAGGTGCACATAGTAAAAATTTTGTCAGTTATCTAAATGTTGATTAACTGAGGTTTTGCATATTGAGACAAACCTATAAGTGAGTATACTACTTTTACAATTCATAAAAGATTTATTGTGAATGTACAAAGCACATAAATATTGTAGTATTTTTAACCTCCCCTGTACTTAGTGAGTGGCTGATGTTGAGGTAACTGTGGAACATTGTAGCAAAAAGGAGAAACTGCTATAAAACAAACACTCTAAAGTTCTTTCTTTAAGAAATTCAAAATGTCTTACAAAATGATTTGTTTCTGTTACTTATTGTCATTTAACTTTAATGCAAGAGAAATCAATCATATTAAAATGTAACTACAATAATACATATCAATTGCAAATAATATAAAAATGTTGTTCATATATACAATTAAATTCACTAAGGTATTAAAAAATAGGTTTAAAAGTCATATTTTTAATTCAAAATAGCCATGGCTGTCTGTTATATTCAAATTTTCAGTTATCCAAGGTAACTTTGGTCCATATTACCTTAGATCAGGGGTGTCCAATGTTCTGGCTTCCTTTTAGGCAACATTTGAAGACAAAATAATTGTATTGGACCGCTCAAACTGTAAAACTACATGTAAAAGTAACAGAAGATTCGCCATTCTAGGCCGAAACAAACTATTAAACAGTTTATGTAGCCAAGTCAAATTTTTTAGCCCAAAAAGTAGCCAATGCACCAATGATTATTGTGCACCAAACTAAAATAAGGATAACCTATTTTGGCACAAAGTAGCCAAATCTTTTCATTAAAGGTACAGTATATAATATGTGTATAATTTATTGTGGCAGCCATCTTCTGTCTTCTATAGATCAGCACAATTCATGAATTTTTACTTTTAAGAAAAATTTGTTTAATCTTGTAAAATTTTATTTTATTTTCAACTAAGAATTCTGAATTCTAAATTTATTTATTTAGGAAATGAGTATAAATCAAATATGCCAAAATGTAAAAATAACAATTAGAAATGAAGTGAACCATTTATCACTTATATTATTTTAACAGATAAGTTTATTAGAANTGCGAACGTTTTTTTTTTTATTTATATGGGTATCTTAAGGTCCGTTTTTGCGCTAATGTTGCTAATGCGAGCGAAAAAAATTTGTTAAGGAAAAATTTTCTGTTAGCGAACCCTTTGTTAAATATTTCGAATATCACCACTGCTATTTTTGAACCCCTGCTATTTTTCTGTGGGATTGTTAAAGGACCGAGTCTTTCGTACAGCTCCACAGACCATCGACGATCATAATAATTTCAGATGAAAATACAGAGCATCAAAAAGATGTGCTCGTCCAATTCCATTTCCGCTTCTACTTTGATTTGAGAAAATAATATCCCTGAAAGTTTCAGTAAATTTGGTTGAACAATATTATTTCACTTCACCTGTTAATACTTTTTTCTTGAACACCCGTATATATATATATATAGTCTATACCTGGTATTTTGGGATTCTTAACAGCGATAAATGGCCTAAGTTTCGCTTGAGGTCTGAAAAGTTTTGCATAAACTGGATATTTCCGCAAATTTCCATTGTGTTATATATAGATATAGACATCGTATGCATATATAAAATTTAAATTGAATAAAATAATAAATAATTAGTGTATGATGTAATTTATCAAAATTATATATATATATACAGTAGAGCGTCGATTTTCCGAAAGTCAATCATCCGAAAGAATTTCAGTCGGCAAATTTAAATTCTTTCGCCAGTGCTGTGGCGCTTCAATCTTTGGCTACTCGAATATTTTACGTTTTTGATACTAAATTAACATCTGACGTATAATTTTTTATTGTTTTAATATTTTTCAATATATTTATTTTGTTTGTACAAAATAAAAAAATAATTTTTAACAATACAATAGTCTTTGTTAGGCTTAACATCGACGAAAATTCAACGCGAAGCGACACGCAACGGAGAAAATTTTCAATATCGGATACGTTAAACTATTTTTTCGTACATAAATCGGTTATCCGAAATATCAGTTATACGAACAACCCCAATCCCCAATTGATTCGGAAAATCGACGCTCTACTGTATATATATATAATACCAATATATACAGTATTGTCTGATTCTGCTCCCACCACCATCCATTGGATCTAGGGTTGCACTAAACAGTATGTTTGTCTTGTGATACGTGCTACCATGAATTAAGAGATTAATTAAAGTCTCCAAATAACTGTCTATGAACAAAATTAAAATTTCAAATGTATCATCCACTAATAACAAGCAATAATAAGAATGATCAGACGGCCGTATGGCCGAGCGGTCAAGATGGCACCCTACCGCTCTGGGGAGTCGGGATTGAATCCGGACGGGTCGAAAAATCCCCAGGAATTTTTCGGGAGGGTGTTCTGACCGGATATGTCAGGTCCCCCATCCCTTACCACCCAGCCGCCCCATCGTGGGCCTAGCCGAACCCATAATGGGCTTGCTAAATGAGATCCTCTTAATGCCCACAGGGCGGAAAGAGTAAATAATAATAAGAATGACCGTGAGATTGGAAACGAAAAATACTTATCAAGAATTAAAAAGTTGTTCCTGACAATTATGTAGGATAATTCTTTCCCAAAATGCCACTATCGTTATGAAAGTCGGCAATGGACAAACTTTTTTTCTCAGCAAATAACAAACACTATTACAGGGATGGTGTAAGTTGGTAACGCGAATGTATTTGCCCTCTGTACTACGATTGTACGGCTGCCCACCAGTGGCCAAGCGGTCTTCGTTCTCTAAACACTGGTAGTTCGGTCGTGGGTTCGCGCCTCGCTCGAACGGGCTGGCCACGAGGAGTTTTCCGGGTTTTCTCCATTTCTGCAACGCCTAAATAGGGACCAGTTTCCCTTAAAAAGACCTCTCGGAAGGCAGATCGCCCAAGTGTTGCGTTGCCATAACTTAACAAACAAACGATTGTACGGGTGCCATGCCGTGCCCAGATCTAAGCCACTGTATTTCATATGATAGAAAGTTATTCAATTTTGTTCAGACAGTAGCGTAGCAAGGGGGTGTATCATGCAGAGGTGCGCCCAAATGGTCTCCAAGACAAACTATACGTGTTTCTGGAGGGAACGCCAATAAAGTGTCGTGCCCCGGGCGCCAGTTATGTTCGCTACGCCACTATGTTCGGATATTATTTTAATACAATTAACACACATCCAATCGAATCAATTCCAATGTATTCTATTTTTGGCAATAGGATAAAGTAACGAATTTTGAAAAAAGGAATTATTCCGGTCAAACCAGGATATACAACACATTATATATAATTCAGAGCTACAACTATACTGGCAAATCATTCAAGAAAACATTATTTTATTATAACCTGTAAATCACGTATTATTTACTTTTTACATAAACGAAGACACTATATTCAGATTTAACTATAAAAAAAAAGGATTCTAATTATAGATTTTGTAAATAATCAGTTATTTAGACTCCACAGCTTATCTGATTCAGATTATATTTCTATATAGAATAATTAAACTATAGAAGACGTCGAGTAATACATAAATTAAACACGAATTCTGTACTGTTTATATTAAGCGTGTCCATTTTTATAAGCTGTTAACATATAAAACTCGAATTAATCTGATATTAAATGATAAGAACGATAACACCGCATTACAATAAAGATTTGCTACAAGTTTATTTAATTTAATAAATATATTTATCGTTAAAATTATAAGAAAAGAAATTAATGCAATTAAAAAAGATCGACCCTTTACAAATTACATCTTACAAGAAAAAATAATAAGAAGAATGTATTTATTTTATATAAAAATTAAATCGAAATGTTATATACTGTACAACACAATACAATTTAAAAGCCGTAACAATTGCGAACAATTTATAAAATCGATGATATATTATTTACCTGATTCTTCTTCGCAGAAACAACGGAAACACTCCATATTAAAAGAACTGTCAGAGATGCTTTACTTACGACGCATTTTGTCAAAAGGTTATCTTCAACTGAACGATGACAACTGAAGTGGAAATGTAGGTAAATCCCATTCGTCAACGTTCGGAGGTCATCGTTTATCAACTTCCACGTATTATACACGATTACCCACAGAGGAAGTTATCACCGATTATTAAAGTCCTACAATATAATGATAATTTTATCGTATTTACAGAATGCTAGATTTTACAATGTAATCTTTTATCAATATATATATATGAGAAAAAAAAAATTTTATATCTATATAATACTAATAAATTTATATATTATAAAAGTTCATATAATCTTTTTTAATCTCATCAATAAATTAATTTTTACAGTTCAATGAATATAGATTAAATTCTAGTTTAATTAATTGAATTTTAAATAATGAAATGTGCATTTGTAATAAATATAATTAAAGAGGGGAACATTAAAAGTTTTAATAAGGAAAGCAGAATTACACAGCATTACATTATTAATTTCCCTTTTTTTAAATTATCATCATCTTGTGCAATTTCCTGACAAACTAGATCATCAAATTTTGAATTTGGATAAACATATTTTTGTTGATATTAAAACTACAGTTATTTCTTTTTCTCTTTAATAAACAAACATGTGCAATTTTTCTCTAAATTATTATTATTATTATTTTTTTAAGTGAATGAGTTTAAAAGTTATTTTTAGTTTAAAATAAATGAAGATTATTTTTTTAACTAATTGTATAATAAATATTTTTGTTGGCATTCTTACGCTTCTTAGTAAAAACATATGATTTTAAATAAGGGCTTTATCGTAAATTAATTTTATAATTATAAATTAATGATTTCCTGAAAAAAAAAAAAAAATTATATTGTATATTCTATAGAATGTAAACATTTACTGTAATTCTTATTACCCGAATTCATTAAAATTTATCAATTTAAAACTCGTTTAACGTAACTATTTTTTAATGGTGATTTTGTTACCTGTTGGTGATTCTCTAACTCTATTTTCGATGCTTTAATTCTGTAATTATATTTATTTGATCTTTAAAAATTTCACAATGCATATTCAAGGTTAATTCTTGATATGTTAAGTTCAATTATGTAGTCTCTTACAGGACTACAAAACTTGTGTATATTTACATTCTTAAATAATATATTGATGTCAGGTTTAGTTACACAATAGATAAATCCTTTCTTTTGCTATAAACAGGCCTCTTTTGTCATTGTTTTTTTTTCTAAATAAATATGTAGAATGTTTTTTTTATTAATTTTAAAGATTTTATTTTTTTTTTGTTTGTAAAAAGAGCATTCATTTATGTAAATAGGAATGAACTACTGTGGGTCCTTCTGGACCCAGAGAAAAATCCCTAGCTCTCCCTCTCGACAGCCCTGGCCACGAATTACTACATTTGTAGAAATTAACAATGTTCCCGTACTGTGTTAAAATCAGTTTTATAGCTAGGAATAATCAGCGGAAAGATTGAAGTGCAAGCTGAAAATATTGTGATTGGTCTTTTTCTCTTTTCCAGTCATTATTATTTATAAATAGTATTAGATCCTTTAGTTACACTCCAAATAAACTTGGACTACAGCTAATAAGTACTGCTAAGCTGGAAGATTTAGCTATCTCATAGACTCTAGCCATGCTACTTTGTCATCATTAATATGACAATTTATATCAATAAAATAATAAAACAACAAAGGATTTCTTTATCAATTAATTAGCATAATTTTGACTTTTTGATGATGAAAGATCTAATACATTCAAAAATTTCTGAAAGTTTGTGTATTAGGGAGAACTATTTCTAAAAATTTTCATGATTGGTTGGGAGATATTAAAGAGGTGGACGCCATGTCTCAAAAAGCTTCCAAATTATGAAATTTTTAGTTTACCAAAAAATAAATGCATTCGTTTCAAAGTATTTTTTTTTGAAACGCGCTCCACTCCCAATATTAACATTATTTGATGTTTTTTTTTATAACTTTTGATAGAATAAACCAATTGAATTCTAACTTAAATAGGGGAATTGATATTTCCCTAATCCCCAACTCTAGACCAGGATAAAAATATAACAAACTTTGCTATTTATCTAAGATAAATATTTTTTTGTGTCATTAATCATAATTTTTATCAAAATTAGAACAAAAAGATCTTTATACATTGAAGAGCTGGGTAGAATAATACTTTAAAATAGTTAACTGACCCCCACATTATGAGTAATCATTCTTATAGTAATTTTATATAAACCCGAAGACAAAAAGGTAATGGTAGTAAATGTGATGAAAACAAAGAATGTCAGGAAAGTCCAGCAACAATATTGTCAGCTTTTTTGATTATTTTTAATTGTTTTTAAGATTTATGCAAACAAAAATATAGTATTTTATTTCTGAGTCACTGTTTATCAACATAATGTTGCCTTAGAATATAAAATTGAAAATTACATAGATTTGAGGATTTTAATAGATAAACTAAGTGTAGCAATTAAATAATTATTATATATAGTTCTTAGATTTTAATTGATTATTTTATTAATACAAAAATTCTCTCCTCATTTTTCCCCCCTACACATACATTACACTAGAAACTCAAAAAAAAAGTCGTTAATACTGGTGATTTCATTCTTTGATGAAATAAAAAATCTCTTATCAATTAAAGGCATCAAAAAATGTTATAATCAACATTTTTGATGTCTCATATTGATAATAAGAATAGAAAAGTTATAGCTGTAATATTTTAATTTATTTCATAAGTAAATCCACATAGCATAATAACATAAAATACATTTCAAATTAACTTGAAATATATTGTAATTTTGAATTGAAATTATTCTATGTTCTATTTATGAAATTTTAAAGTTTCTAACGCATAAATATTTAATTATAAACGAGTCAAAATTTGTTAAACAGTTTGAACTTTTTTAATATTTTAAGATGAATTTTATGCATTCAACATTGAAAAAATGATATTTACAGTAAAGGTATAACTGAGTGATATTAAAAAAATATATAAAACAGGTATTTTATTTAGCATGTAAGGAAGAAAAGGCAAGAGAAAAATGTTTCAGTAAAAAAAAAAAGATTACTCAATTTTCTTGCATGAAAGGTGAAAGACAAAGTTTTTAACATCTTATTAATAAACTATTTATTAAACTATGTGATTATTTTTATATGATATAATTTAGTTTTAAAAAAGTTAGAAAAACTGCCTCAAAAAATTATAAATTTTTGAAAATCTATAATCATTTTATTATATACTGTATATAATAAGTTTACACATGGGGTTCTTACTCAAATTTTTGTTTTGAATTCCCTGACCAACTTCGTCCAAATTCCCTCACCCTCACATTTCTTATGGCGTGGAATGTCGACATAATAAAACAGCATTTTACTTACTGTGAACGTCGAGTACATCTATCCCTCTTTTTTGCACAGTTGATACATTCCAAAGACTGTGCAAAAAAGTATAGTACATGTATCCTGTAGAAACATGTTTGATAGGATCCACAATTTCAATGTAATGAAAAATAAGCAATTTACAAACAAAACATGAGCATTTTTTTTTTATTTTATCATCATTTATTATTATTATTTGTATGTAAATCTAGTAAACACAAGGAAGCGTAAAATCAAACAGTATTTTTTGATATACGAATAAAAGTGCTTAAAAAAGATGAACACTTGACTTAGAAACATGTAATTTTATAACCAATCCTTCAACAAAAAGGGCAACATAATTTAAACAAAAATTTAAATTTAAAAATTTTCAAATAGTTTTTTCCCACGTAAAAAAAGTGATCAGACTACGTAGTTGATATTCAAAACTATAACATACTACAGTATTACTACAGGTATGATCAATGTTGACAGTTTTTAAGCCCTATATTTGCCAAAATCAGTGATATTTGTTACCCATCTTTATGTCTATTAAACTAATTACTAAACTACTGTATGTATCAAAGTGCGGGAAATTAATGAATTCTGTAGTTCGTTACAAAAGTATAAATTTATACCTTAATAAATTTTATAAAAATTTTAATATACTGGAAAGAAATTATAAATTATGTTTCATTACACAATAAAAATTATTAAAATAAAAAGTGATAAATATTTTAATTTATTGGTATTATTTACCAATTTTTGCACTTTGTTCTCATTTTTTAAAATCAACTCATTGACACCTTACCTCAAATTCAGGGTGTAAACAATAATTGTGAAGGGTTTTGAAAGGGTTAATCACATAAGAAAGACACAGAAATTTTATAACAGACGGATTTGTACATCTAGTGGTGTCCTCTAATATTAAAAATGTTTTGAAAGAAAAATGGATTCTGCAATATTTGTAATAAAGGTTGTAGCATTACTTCTTGCCGCCTGCAAATGGCTATACTTTGTCAGCCTTATTCTGCAAATGAAATCAACAAGGCAGCTAATCAGACAAATTCCCTGACTTTCCATGACTTTTTCTGAACACTAATGAAAATTCCTGACTTTCCAGGTGCATAGGAATCCAGGTGCACATAGTAAAAATTTTGTCAGTTATCTAAATGTTGATTAACTGAGGTTTTGCATATTGAGACAAACCTATAAGTGAGTATACTACTTTTACAATTCATAAAAGATTTATTGTGAATGTACAAAGCACATAAATATTGTAGTATTTTTAACCTCCCCTGTACTTAGTGAGTGGCTGATGTTGAGGTAACTGTGGAACATTGTAGCAAAAAGGAGAAACTGCTATAAAACAAACACTCTAAAGTTCTTTCTTTAAGAAATTCAAAATGTCTTACAAAATGATTTGTTTCTGTTACTTATTGTCATTTAACTTTAATGCAAGAGAAATCAATCATATTAAAATGTAACTACAATAATACATATCAATTGCAAATAATATAAAAATGTTGTTCATATATACAATTAAATTCACTAAGGTATTAAAAAATAGGTTTAAAAGTCATATTTTTAATTCAAAATAGCCATGGCTGTCTGTTATATTCAAATTTTCAGTTATCCAAGGTAACTTTGGTCCATATTACCTTAGATCAGGGGTGTCCAATGTTCTGGCTTCCTTTTAGGCAACATTTGAAGACAAAATAATTGTATTGGACCGCTCAAACTGTAAAACTACATGTAAAAGTAACAGAAGATTCGCCATTCTAGGCCGAAACAAACTATTAAACAGTTTATGTAGCCAAGTCAAATTTTTTAGCCCAAAAAGTAGCCAATGCACCAATGATTATTGTGCACCAAACTAAAATAAGGATAACCTATTTTGGCACAAAGTAGCCAAATCTTTTCATTAAAGGTACAGTATATAATATGTGTATAATTTATTGTGGCAGCCATCTTCTGTCTTCTATAGATCAGCACAATTCATGAATTTTTACTTTTAAGAAAAATTTGTTTAATCTTGTAAAATTTTATTTTATTTTCAACTAAGAATTCTGAATTCTAAATTTATTTATTTAGGAAATGAGTATAAATCAAATATGCCAAAATGTAAAAATAACAATTAGAAATGAAGTGAACCATTTATCACTTATATTATTTTAACAGATAAGTTTATTAGAAAATTACAAGTAACAAAATATATTATTAAATTTTATTTTTATAATGAAAAGTGTATGCTAAAAATATAAAGTACTATTTGGATAAGTTTTAATATAAGTTTATTTATAATTATTCACATTTGATCATCTTACATAACTTTTTCTGAAGTTAAATAAAATATCTGTTTTGTAATAAAACTTTCATACTATTCTGACTTTTAATTTAATGTATTACTATTTTTCTTTCAAATAGTATACTACACGCGTATCCAATACATTCCTGATCGAATTCTGTTATAGTCAGTAAGTCCTTCGGTTGGTCCTAAAAAGAATTATATTAAAATTTAACATTAGAAAAATAATCAGATATATCAAAATTTTAATTATATATAATAGTTTATTAATAAGTTTTTATAGTTTTATACTTCATAAAACTAAAACATTAACAAATCAATTTTTACATTTTATAATATTACAATTTATAAATTTCAAGATTAATTATTTAATCTTTGTAATATTGTTGCATTTTAGCAATCTCCTCTTTACTTTGGAAATATTAACAAATCTGACAACTCCACATTTAATATTTAATTTAATCATAATAAATTTAAATGAAAAATGAGAATTATAACTGTAATAAAATTACACACGAATTAAGGAAACAAATTAGTAACAAGGTGATTTATAAATTAAAAAATTTGTTTAAAGCTTTAACTAATAATGAAAAATATTGAAAATGACAAAATAGAATAAACCTAAAAATTTTTTAAGATTAAAAGTTGAGGTATAGTTAAGTAATCTAAAACAATAATAGTTTTCGCACACTTCTTTTGACTCTTGTTTCTTCTCTCCGATGGAGTGTTAAATATGTACTACTTAAAAAGTATTAGGAGTGGTTTGTCAGTAATTTTTCTCTTATCAATTATGGATAAGAATCATAATCAACACTGATAATTAAAAATAAAGATCAAAGAGAACAAGATAGAGTATTTTGCTTTCATTTTAAAAATCTTATAAATATGGAAAAAAAAATATAATCAATTTTTGCTTAGTTTTGGAAAGAATAAATAAAGCTGTATTAATATTAAATAAATAATTTTGGCTGTATAATTAAAATTATTCAATACTGAATTAACTTTCTTTTATCTTGAGAGGGAGAAAAAAAATCACATAATCCACGGCATAGCTTTTTAAAATACAAGTAATATTCAACTAAAACAGTTAATTAAAAGTACTTTTGTTCATATACAACTTGAGTGTCTTCAGTTGACACAAACAGTCAATTTAACTAAAAAAAAACTCAAATTGTATATGATTATTTTTTAATAATGAGACTGTGATCGCATGCATGCAATGGTTGCACATGGGATGAAATGACTGGGTGGGTAAACAACCTTGAACAAGTTAGAACAAACACAGCAAGTCTCAACTTGCTATCACTATTAGATTGCTGTGAGTGCTTGCTTCAAGTGGACATGTTAGTGCACGTTGGAAAAATGGCCAGCTTGAAAAAGGAACAGCACATCAACCTGAAAGTTTTGGTGAAATTGAAAAAGAACTGCCACTGATCTTTGTGCCTTCTATATGAAGCATACGGAGATGCATGTGATTTTTTGAGGGCTGAGAGGATGTGAATGATGATGAATGTTCTGGATGGCCCAGCACATCAAAAAACAAGGAAAATGTACAAAAAGTGGAACAAATTTGTGAACCAATACTACTACAAAGAAGTTCTGTAATCTTTGCAGGAAAGGGTCAGAAGAAAGCGGCAACACTTGTGGCAAAATGATTTCATCCTCCATCAGGACAACCCACCAGCCCATTCCACTCTGTCAGTGAAGTAGTCTTTGGCCAAGAAGAGAGTCACACTACTTGAACACCCATCATTTTTGTGAGGAGAACTTGCCCACATTCTCATTGCTGACGTCACATTCTCACATAATGCTTGATATGACATATGAGGATTTTAAAAAAAAAGAAAAAAAAACTACAATTTAAATGATTTCCTCGGTGAAGCTGAACTTTGGTACAACCAATGGAAAAGAAAAAATGTGCCAAATGCCAAATTGAAGGAGATAGAACTAGCTGCACTAGTTAAAGAAACACAATTGTTCTACCCATCTATAAAACAGGTGCTACTTATCTCACATGCACTGTCCTGCACAATGTGCACTACTGAAACATCCTTCAGCATCTTACGCAGGATAAGAACTTGGATATTGTCAATAATGACAGAAAATCAGCTTGTCAATCTTTCCATGATGTGTGTGCATAAAAGAGGGTCTGAAAACTAAAAATAAATTTGAGAAAAAAATTTTCATAAGATTTAGCCAGAACTCCTGTAGGCTAGTGCTGAAATAAGATTTAGATAGGTTTGAATAGCATTGCAACTAATTACTTTTAGCATTTTCAAATGTTCAAATAAAACCATTTTTTAATAAACAATGTTATCTTATTTTTGGCCCTCAAAGAAAATCCTGACTATGCCCTTGGAGTATACTATTCAAGATTTAAAGTTCCAGCTTCAGTCTCATTATTTCCTAGCCACATCTCATATGGACAGCTGGATGGCCGAGGGTTAAGATGGCAGCCTACAACTCTGGGGATCCGGAATCGAATCCAGTCAGGTTGAAAAACCTCCAAAAATTTTTCAGGGGTTAGTCCATCCGGATATGTCGGGCCCCATCCTTCACCACCTGGTCGCCCATTGTGGGCTTTCTTTTAGCAAACCCATAATGGGCTTGCTAAAAGAGGCCCTCTTAGTGCTCACGGGGCAGAAAAGTTAGAAAAAAAAAAAGCCACATACACACACACACATATTTCTAGAAGTTATAAGAGTTGATTTATTTTCTATTGTCAAAAAAGACAAGAGGAGTGTTAATACAATCAAGATTAAGTCATTAAAAAAAATTAAGCAAATTTTATAAAATGTAACTAATTAATAAATCTTAATAAAATTAGAAAAATTCTTACCAACAGCTGCAACAACAGGACATCTATCATAGATATATTTAGTACAAACTTCACGAATTGTTTTGGCATCAACAGCCTGTATGAAATAAAAAAATTATTAATTTATTTATTTATAAAAGTTATATACAAGTGTGGAAATATATATATTTTATAGATATCATGAAAAATATTAGAATTAAAATTGAATTGTTGTCAATTTTACATTTAATATTCTCTTTGTTACATATATGAAGATATTGCATAAATGAAGACACTCTCTGTCAAAACATTTATTTGTATATTCAAAATGTCATGTTAGAATATGTTAAATTGTAAAATTGTTGTTACTGAAAATAAATGATGTTGATTGATAAAATTTTTTAAGAAACTCAGTCTTACATTTTTTTCCTTTAGTTATGATCATGTACTTTGCCAATGTAAAAAAAATAATAATAAATCACACTTTCCACACTATTTCCAGCAGGTTTTATTAAACTTTTTGCTTGAAATAGTGTGGAAGGCGTGCCTTATTATTTGTATGTTTTGTTCACCACGTAGAGAATTGTAAAAATTAAAAATGCTGTAGATATGTGTTGAATTTGTCAATTCTCAATACAAAGAAAAAGAAAAAAATTAATTGATAGCATCCTGTGTTAAGTTAATACAAAATTCAAGAAATTAATCAATAAAAACAATATAAGTTCCATAATTTGAATAAAGTACATTGTTTCTTAAAGTTATATTTTGTTTTGTTAATAAGGACTGATAAAAAAATTTATTATATGAACATTTCTAAAACTTACAACTGCAATGCAAATATTTTTCGTTAATATCCTTTATACACATCATGATTTTATTAAGATGAACATTCCAAAAACAGTCATGAAATTTTACCAATAAATATTTATTTCAATAAAAATTTGCATTCTTCTCATTTTATATTTAATTCCAAAGAAAGTTTGTTAGAAAAAACTTAGCTTTTAAATAATAAAAGATTTGTTAGATAAGTTACATACATTATTACAAAATATTTGAATATAAAAGCTGGTAATTATACACAATTCTATATTATAAGCACTATATTTATGAAGATCACATTTTACAAAACTGCTGTAAAAATGGAATCACAAATACAAAAATAAATTTTTAAAAATATGATTATAATGCAAAAAAATATATTTTCATACAAAAACATTTTGACATTACATATTTAAATTTATCTATTTTTCTTAATGTATCTCATGACAGATTCATTTATTATGAAGGTTTAAGCATCTGAAGCTATTAAATTTCCTCCCTGTAAACAACCTAGCACCTCTATTTTCTCTGATAAACTCAATTTAAGCTTCTTGATATTTTTCCAGTTGAGACTTTTTTGTTCTGAATTTGTGCAACAACACATTAATGTTTCTACAGGTTTTTCAACCAACACAGTATAGTAATGCACTGTATCATCTTTCAACTGATTAAAGAGTAGAAGTAAAACAAAGTCAAAAGCACGGTTGTGATCATAAATTAAAAAGTGTCAAGGTGCTAACAGACACCCTGAGTTTGAATCACCACTGTCTATGGCATTCTGAATGAGCAAAAAACAACTTTGTAGTCAATGTCTGCAAAATGTCTTAAATGCACCAAAAATAACTTACGTTTTCATAATCAACACAAAAATCTGTGTAAGAAGTAATTTTCTGTTTTTTGGCAGAGCTATATAGTCAAAAGTTTAACCTAGATGTTCACAAAGTACAAGGAATTCATCATGCTTAAAAAAGAAGTACCAGAGTAGCACCCTATGTCCTGACATGACTATGGTGCTAGTCAGAAGCATAATAAATTGATAATAAAGATTTCAATGAATGTACCTGAAGACTGTGTTTTAATGCTGTGGGAAACCCATAAGGGAATAAAATATAATTATTGATGCGTATGGTCTTCACAGACATATCTCCACACATATGATATTGCATTACTTTCCTTGTAGTTTACACAATTCCCCACTCAATTCATTACTGGTTCAAACAATTTTCATTCAAAAATGTTTGAAATTCTTGACATTCTACATTTGTGACCTGAAGCAGATTCTGGAGGAAGAATCAAAAATGTTCGTTCATCTAGTTTATTTGAACTGTACTGGAAATCTATTGTGATACTTATTTGTACCAGTATTTTTTCTAGAAAGTTCTATCTTTACTGTTGATCTAAAGCTAATTTTAATCTATTTAAACAATTTCCTGAAATAAATAAATACTTTTTCCTTCCAATTAATTTTCTAATAAACAAAATGTGTTGGCAAGCATAACAGCCTCAAACTGAGATATGGAGAGGAAGAGAGCACATCATCCATTTTGTAGAAATTGTACCTATTAGGGGACAATTTGGCAGCAGATAAAGATGCTTTTGTCACGATGGAGGAAGATATATATATATATCTTTTTCGGATATAATCTATCCTGTTATAAAACACATCTGGCATTCACACCCACTACATAGGAGCAACAACTAGAATGTTATCTTGCTGCATCTCTGAAGACCAACATTCCATCAGGGCAGGCAGGTGTGACACTGAGCTAGCTAGGATGGTGTTACAACATCAATACACTCTGCTGTGGGACTGTGTGGTGATGCTCAGGTATTGTGATCAGAGGAGCCTGATGTATGTTTGGGAGGCCTTCCTTACCATATTATTAAATTCGTGCAACTCCCCCATGCTTGAGTTGCCTGCAATGTGGATCAGCCTGTATAAAAGATTAAAACATTGTCTCTAGCTCTGTTCTCAGCACCTATTCAAAACATCATGGTACATGTGCATTGCCATCATGTGCACTTTAATTCAAATTCTTTACGTTTTTATTCTAAAGTTGGTTTGTTCTAAAGGACTAAGGCTGTTAGTTTTAATTTGAAATGTTTGTTCGAAAGATTTATTTGAGTTTGTGTTCTACCTGAGGACGATGCCTTAAAACACGTTGAAAGCGCTTGCAAATATAGCAATATTTATACATAATTAACATCTTTGTGATAATTCCTTCCTTTCTCACAAAATGTCTCCTGGTACAGGATGAGCCTTTTTCTACTCTTGGTGCACTTGGTACTCCTGCAGCCACTTCAGTGAGTAATGCACACCATCTTTTCTTCTCTCCTATTTTTATGCTAGTTGTTATTTCTCTTACCCATTCTGGACACCCTCTTCTGACTTGTCTGTACCTCAGGACTAGTACCACTTGGTGGATCACTTCTCACTTCCTTTTTCATCTGTTAGAACTGTTGTAAAGTAGTTTATTATTTTATTAATTTCCTTCATGTTTGTTATTGTTTTACTTTTCCCTTCCTTTATTTTTACTTCTCTGTGTCTATATTATTCTCTGTCACTGTAAACAGATGCCTTCTCTCTGCCATCTACTGACTCTTTATATAGGTGTATGAAAATTAGCATCAGGCTTCTTGTATCTGAACATGCATCAGGTAATTGAGGTTCCATCTGATGAAAGTGCATTGTTCTATCACTTTCCAGGTTTCTGTCACTGAGTGGGCCTTCTCAGTACTATGCCCTGTTTTCTTTTCTTTGGATAGTGGCTATGCACCCTATCTGGGAAAAAGTCCCTTGGAAAGATTGGCAGCAGAGATCATGCTCTGGATTTGGCAATGAGTATTTCTATCTTTCCTCTCATGGCCTTAAACCATATGTGAGCACCCTTGTGAGCGTGGTGTTAGGGGACTGCTGAACCTACCCACTGTAACTTTCATCCTGTCCTTTTGCATGTTACCCTATCCTTCTCTCTTAGAAGAGAGAAGGATAGTGTTTTAAAGGCTCTCTGTGGCACTACAGACTTTGACTATCTGCTTTAAATCATCTGTATCTAACTAAGTTTGCAAAATTTTGCTTTCTTACACTAAATAGTTTTTGAAATCTAGACAGAAAAAATTCTACTTTTCTTTGTTTTGTTGTTAGATATATCTAAACAAGGTATTGCCTGATTTAATAACACACATAAGAACTGTTGATTTTGAAAGTGGGGCAAGTCCATTTTGTGAAAAGATAGTTAATGCTAATTCTTATTACAAACTAGAAGATAAGCCAGGTGTTACTTGGGCAAAAAGTAACGATAGCAAAGATCAAGATTATTACATTACAGCCAATCTTACCCATTTTCACAGAATGCAAGAATTAGGTTCCCGTTTCCAGACTAATCAGAAAATTTTTAGATGGGTCTAATATTATGTTCAATTTCCCATAAAAATGCAAAAAACCACATCTGCGCCTGTAAATCTTGCACATTGCTTTCTCTTAACACTTCCATTGTTGAAGCCTTAATCCTGTCCCTTTCCCCGCCAGGGGGGGAGATTTTGAAAAATCCCTTCTCAGTGTGCGTTCTTGTGACGTACCCTAACTGTGTACCAAACTTCAAGTTTCAACACCTAACCGTGCTGAAATGCTCGTATACACGCACGCCACCTATCATAGGATAAATGTACTATGCCAGAAACCTTCACAGGAGTGTCTTAAACAACTTCCCAAAGTTTCATGGCAATCAGATAAACGGTCTAGTAATGCATGAAGGACAGACAGATATACATTCATTTTTATATACATAGATTAACATAAAATTTGTGTTTTTAATCAATTCACAATAAATATCTTTTAATATCAGTATAAATTTGTTACTAGTAAATTATATCGTAAACAATATTTACAGTGAGTTGATTTTTAAAGCGAGGCAAGTCCACTGTAAAGAAAAATATGAAGATATGATGGATTTATTACCCTATGTACCACCCATTTATCACGAATACTTTAAAAATCTGCATCATCTAAACTAAAAAATATAATTATATGCATGCAACTTATTATTAAATCTTTTTAAATTATTTTTTCCACTTTTTCATATAAAATTAAATTTATTTTTTGTTTCATTGCAGCTTTTTGAAAAAAGTATGAATAAATAAAAAGTTGAAATAGAATAAATAAGTAAATAAATAAAATATTCAATTTTTTTTGTTGTTATAACTATATTCCATTTAAAGAAAAGCAACGTTTTCAACAAATCATTGCTTTTGAAAGTGAGGTAGGTCCATTGGCGCAACCAAAACCACAATTTTTTTTCACCTAATGTGGATAACCATTATTGCATATTAAATTTATACATAATAAAACCAAAAAAATATAAAACAAGTC